AAAACATAACAAATTGTGTAAATTTAATGAGATGAGTCAATTCTACACACAGAGCATCTAGTTCCACATCAGTTTATAGATAATCATCGATTCAATTTCCCAATGCTCTGCCCTTTTCGCCAAGGACTGACATTGAAATTAATTAAACAATAAACATTGCGATAAACAGGTAAAAAAATTAATAATCATTGGCATGAGTGTTTGCTGTGTAATTGATAAAATTCAAATTTGCTGGTCTAATTAAAAATAAATAACTGACCTGCATTGTGTGAGAGACTGGAGGGTGCTGACAACCCTGTAGCAGGTTGCAAAGAGGCTGGTTGGCTAATCTGGGGAGTAGAAAGACCACCAAGTGATCCAGGAATAGGAACTGAGCTGTGAACACCACTCATAGTTGTAGTGGTTGTTGGTAACACCTGGCTCACTATAGTAGCTGCCACCTGATGAACAACACTAGCGGGTGAATGATGAATAGTACCACCTGAGGCTTGGTGGAGGCTCGTAGGTACCTGGGGTATACCACTTGGCACTTGTGGCATCAATTGACTCAGCTCGGTCATTCCGTATTGGCAGGGGGCTTGACTCGGTGCAAAATTGTGCATCGTATGCCCGATGCTACCTGTATGCTTACGCATTCTCGCACGACGATTGCTGAACCATACCTGCAATTATTATTTTTTTATTATAACACTCTCTATTTATCTCTCCTTATATACACCGTAAATCGTCCGCATTTTTATATTGCGCTACCATACCCCCACAACATCAACATTAGTGTTTACATTTTTTAACATGTTTGCATCTCTGTGTTGTTTATTAATTTTCGACTCACAATAATGTTTTTCGCGGGTAAACTCATCGTGTATGATCTCAAAATAAACTCAGGGAAATGGTAATTTAAAATTTTCAAGTTCACGGAAAACAACGGGAAGTAACACTATATAATTTTTTATTTATGAATAATTAATTGAAATAGTGAAGAGTTGGATTCCTGGCGGGGTGAAATTATGGGATCGAATGACTTTTTAAGTCTCGATCAATTGTCATAGTCGTCATGACTCCAAGTGATGTAAAATAAGTATTTAAAAAAATAGACAAATACTCTTTTCAACACACTGTGCGTAAAATGAAATTTTACGCCCAAGGGCATTTTTCTGCAATCGTATCGGAATATATTATTCAATTACCTGTATTCTTGCTTCCGTCAATCCCGTTCTCTGGGCGAGCTCCTCCCTGGCGTAAACATCGGGGTAATGTGCTCTTTGAAAAGAAGCTTCTAGCTGCTCCAATTGACTTCCGGTGAATGTTGTTCTACTTCTTCGTTGCTTCCTCTTCAGGGTTATACTAGGTTCACTCTCAGTGTCAGATTCGTCCATACTCTTCACAATGTGACCTAATCACCGAGAGGAATTGATAACACATTAATCACGTCTGTCAGCAATCATATAGAGAGCAATGATATAAAATTCAACTGAAAGAATTATTTTTGATGGATATCACGGTATCAAAGGTCAATAGTCAATTTTCCAGTGTCACGTATAAGAAAAATAACATCACCTGTTTTTTTTTTATTATATGACTCGATCTTTTATTTATTTTTAACCACTTAACAATAGTTAAGTGAAGATGAGAAATTGTGAGCTGTTAAATAATGAAAAAAACGAAAAAACGTTATAATTTTTCATGTAAATCTCAGCAATAATTTTTGAGAAAAATAAAAAATCCAAATTTTGACTGGAATATCGATTTTTTATCGAATATCTTTGATAAAACCGACGCCAAGGTGCGGTTGGTCAGTTTGTTGTATGAATTTGACAGAAAATTAACGAATGAACAACCGAAAAATAAGGAAAAATGATGGAACAAGGCAACAGACGCACAAAGGTTGGGCCGTAATTAAGGCCGATCGTAAGACTAGAATTCTGTCATTAAACCCCGGGAATTAACAGAACAAAAATACATGGTTTTGTGGGGTAATAACTGGGTACAGTTAATGGCGGTTTTATCGCAGTTTTTAGAACCTCGACGTGTGTTCAAAGAAGTAAGAAAATAGTCATATGGATTGTCATAAAATTCTCTTTAAAATAGTACATAAACCATGGACTATTTTGTCTTAATCTGCATTTTGCGGTTTAAAAAATATCATTTTAGTCAACAATTGAAGATCTCCAACAACAACAACCAAATGTTAGTTTTTCCACGGATTACCCCCGAGAATTATTTCATTTTTCCCCTCTCCCGTGCTTTCTTTATACTCTCTGAGACATTCAGTCTGAAGATGAAAAAAGATTGGTAATTGAATTCTCGTATTTATTTTCTCTGAAATCACTTCAGCTTGAATAAAGAGGTATTCATTTTTTTTAAAGACTGGATATTATCGAAGACATGGGCCTCGTGCCATTTTCTCAACTCTCAAAAATATAAAAATCCCGAAAATCCTCACTCTTTACTTCTCATTGAATAGAATGATTAAATATTCATACTCGAGTGAATCACAACGGTCAATTGACCACATCTCAATGAATGAAGATGGAAACCGTGTGACGTTGATCTGGTTGTGATCCTCGAAAAGGAAAACACTGGGATTTCAATCTTCCGCACCGTCAATTGCACTTTGAATCTTAAAATTCGAGAAAAGGCTCTAAATCCGTGCTCAATGTACACAAACATTATAATCTTACTTCATTCAAAGGAGATTGGATTTTTGGGTAAAAGAACAGTCATTCATGTTCCCACAACAGATGTTCTTTATTTCCCATCTTTCTTTATACTTGATCGTTCTAGAATACAAGTATTGAGAGTACAACGAAACAGACAAGATGAATGGGCTTTTAAAGTCAAAAATATTATGCTATATTTTTTATATTCAATTCAACCACCGATTGTCGATAATTAAACCAATTTTTTATTGAATTGAGTTGATTTGATGTTCAGGTAATGATGGATGGGAATTAAATGAGATAATTTTTAGGAACTTCCAAAGGAATTTATTCTTATTATTAAGTTAATTGTTTATTAACAACTCAATAATTTTGAGTGGCCCGATCATTGAATTGGAATTACCGTCGCTTTATTTCAATTGAGATATTTCTATCTGATGTGCAACGACTGAATTATCTATTTATTTGATGTGAACAACAAATTTCTAAATATCCTATTGCGTAGTGAGAATCAAAACCCGAGAGCATATGGAATCATCTATAAAATAAATTGAATGAATTGTCGGGATAATAAATGAGTAATTATTAATAAAAAAAAGATTTTTGTCTATAATTTTCTTTCTTTAACAACTATCTTGGGATTTCTTGAGATAGGTAAAAGAAAAAGTCTTAATTTCAGTCCTCACACCAATAAACTTCAAACTCTTTAATTGAATTAAATTAATTTTTCTTTGTTGTTATAAATGTCTTGTTTTACATCAGCACCAGCGTTACCCGCGATTGTAATTACAATAACCGAAAAGATCATATTGTTTATTTATGATAAGCTCATCTTGCCGTTGAAATTAGATTAGCTTCCTCTTTTCGTACATCCACCCGATATCACCTGTTCCTCAGCAGGCCGCAATAAATAAAACCCCAGCTATTCTCCAGAATCTTTTGTCGGTAAAAAAATAAAAACTAGCCGCAGGCGTGAGAACTAGCCCACAATTGACTCCGAGACAAGTTGGACATTGAAATAGATTCAAAAATACCAAAATATCACATGCACATGGTTCACCTGTGCAACACCACCCGCAGCTCATTGTTCCCATTTACTCCATCCGTTCATTTCAGTGGTGAAATAAGAAATATTGCCAAACATAGATTCCGAGGTCTCTTTATTCACCTTCGAAGATGACAAGAATGTAAAGAAGCCGACTGGGATAACTGAAGGATGGCTATTATATTTGGTAGATGCAACTTGTCCGACGGTTCCCTATTCAACTCAAACTTCTCTCTCTTTCTCGCTTCTTCACTCTTTTATTTTCTTTTTGGAAGGTTTTTTCCAAAGAGATGCGACCAAGCCACTGTCAATGCTGTGAGTTTTCAGTCGAGCCTCTTCGTCCTCGATATTATACTGCGGTTGAGAGCAAAAGGGGCACCGACGTGCCACCTCTTATGGTGACACCTTGACTTATTTGACGCACTTTGCGTCATCTACACCATCTCGAGAAATTTCAAATTGAAGGGAATCAGGGGGTCAATGGAATGATTAATTTTATGGTAATCCATCGATCCTTTCGGGAATTATTCGGGCGCGATGAAGGATTAAGGTATTATGTCAGATATTCAATTCATTTTTCAGTCTCTCCGAGTGGAAGATAAATTTTTACTTCATTTTTTTTCTCCTGTAACTATTCATGATTTTTTGGGATTGCTTTATTTTGGAGGTATTGGCCCTTTCCTTCATCCTGTATTTGTGAGACTAAATCGTTTTATTTATATTTGACATCGGAATTTTTGAAACGAGAATTTTTTTTTTCGTTTTAAAATTAAAAGACAGAATTTCAAAATGAGGAATAAACTTGTTCCATTTTATTTCAATCTTCCCTTCAAATCAAATATACTAGAATGAATTATAAAATATATTTAATTCCGATATATTTTTTTTTTTCGGGGTGTGCGTTGAAGATGGGAGGATAGGGGTGGAAAAGGAATAGTTGGCAATTCGTTTAGGTACGATATAATTATCAATTATAAAGAATTCTGATTCATTAAAATGGATTGCGTGTTAAGAGTTATAACCAGGTGTGATTCTCGAAACGTGCTGAGCATATATCGCGGGAGGATATATTGTTCAGGCCCTTTTGGCATTCCTTGCCCTCACCTTTTCACTCTCTCCCACTTTTTCGTTGAGATGTCGGTGGTGAGAGGGAGATAGTGATAACAATGAAGATAAAACAAGAAAGAAATGGGAGATGAAAAGGTGGAGGAGAAAAGAGTTGAGAGAAAATACGTAGTTTGGGGTGTGCGATCGTTTAGGAAACCATATGTTGAAGTTGTAATGAGTGAGCATCCGAGGGCGGCGCCCGATGAAATGTTTTATAGATTATCTCTCACCTCCAAATTCATTTCTTTCTTTATCGAGTTGTAAATAATACTTCAAGACATTTATACCCGTACAAATCAATTTCCAATTATTTGCTGGACGGAATGATATGGGGGTTCAATTAAAAAATTATAGGAACAGAATTTTCTGGTGAGAAGTAATAAAAATTTTGGTGCCACTGAGAAAAACTTATTTGTATCCGAATTACTATACGATTATTAATCCTTCGTTAATAAAAATTCATTAGATTATTAGATTTACGAATCGATGAACTTCTGCTTGAGATAACACTTCAATCAAAATTCAATCAAAACAATTGGGAAGGAACTGCTTATTTTGAGATTGGGCGGATTTATGTAACTCGAATTTGAAGTATCCAAACTAAATTTTTTTTTATCTTTGAGAATGAGTTATAAATTTTAAAAAATGCCAGAGACTTCACCAATGACTCTTTTAATTAAAAAAATCGTGAATTGAAGTTGAAGTAAAGTTGCAACATCCCGGAGGTCTCTAAAAAAATAACGAAGTACTATCCTATCCCCGAGAAAAAAAAAGGTGTCCTTCTCCCGTTGTTTCGTTTTCCAACTCGATGTAAAACTGTGTCGAATCGCTTTCTTCGGGGCCGACAGTGGGAAAATTCAAAATGCCGCCACCCAAAAAGTTATAAATCTCAAAGTCAGTGGAAAAAACCCAGCGAGTCCTATACTCTCTCTTGCTCACTGACTTCTAGATAGTTCCATCTCATTCACCTCGTGGGGGTCCTATAGTATCCTGAAAAATGGGGTAGCATGGTGCGTGTGAGGTCCTAAACGGTAACAAAATGCCACAGATACTCCTGTAGTAGCTTTTGAGGACACGACAATGGGTACCTCCGGTGGCGGCATCGTTTATTCAACGATTGCCTCTCGGTATGTCCTGTCAACGCCCGGTGGGAAGTCAATGAATTACTGATGTTAGTTTATTTTCCTACACCATTCGATCGACTCCAATTTGTTATGAAAACCACTCTAATTTTCAAAGAATTATTACACATTTTATTTTCCAAGTATTTTACAAAATCCTCAAGAACAACTAATTACCGATTTCATTATTGTCGGATAATTTTCCTCCGCTCCCATTAAACATCTCCTGAAATTACCGAAACATTACCAATAATATAAAAAAATCGAGCCACAACTACGAAAATTTGTTTCCAAAATTTGGGTCCCAAAACGTCATGATTCTGAATAAAAAAAAAAGTGAGAAAGGCTGACGATTTCGATCCTTGGACGATGGCTGTTCGTAGGAAAATGTTCGTTTCGCGTATTTTTACCTGCGATAAAGTACGCTAAAAATGAAATCAAAGTGGAAACGATGGATTCGCGGTTAGTTTAATTAATTAAATATAAGAATAAATAGTGGGAATGAATTGATGATATGCGGGGGAATCGAAATGGGATAAAAGTGAGAGGGGGCCTTTAAAATGGGGCTGGAGGGTTGGGCGAGGACCCATTAGGCTAATCCCTCGTCGGCGGTCGAGGCCAAAGGAATAAGGAAGGAAATAAGAAGGAATAAGAAAGCCACAGGCTACGTGTCATTCCTGAGCGGTATGCTCTCCCGACCGCCGACACCTATACGCCCTATACATGGAGTTCTCAATCTCCCTCATCCTATCTCATTATTAACTATCACAGGCACAAAAAAATCCATAAGCAAATTCCTTCGTTATTTTTTTTGTTTTCCATATGGTCCCCGGAATTTTTTTCATTCCGGGATTTCTCGGTTCTGGGCTGCTCCCTCGTGTCTCATTCGAAGAGTTTGAAGTGATTTTGGGTTTTGGTTTTAAGTCATTCCCCGCGAAATGCGCGGGTGTTCAGAATTTTTCAGTATTTTCGCCTCGAGTCACGGAATTTTTTGCGTTCCGCATTTTTTATCAATTATCTATCAAAAATTGGGATATACGGACACGTAAATTGAATTCAAAAAATTGAATTCAAAATCACGGAATTTTTTGCGTTCAGCAATTTTTATTTGAATTTTCTGTAAAAAATTATGATATGCGGTCACTTAAATTGAATTCAAAAAATTGAATTCAAAATCAGGGACTCATTCAGCCACTCAAAATCAAATTAAATTGACAGAAAAAAAAAGCAAAACCTCACTTATAACATTGTATAATTCCGTAATAATAATATATCAACATACCTACACAACAAATATATAACAATATATTACATAACCATTATATCCGAGATATTCCATTAGTTACATAATTTTTGAATTACATCCTTTTCCAGGCGTCAAGGGAATGGGAGAAAGTGGTGGAATGGTCTGAATAAGTTGAATTTCCGATGGATTGAAATGGAGGTGAAAATTTATCCATCTCTTATCTTGAAATGTTGTAAATATTGTAAAATGCATTGGTAAGATCCTCGGAATGAGTGCCACTGTCGACGTGTGGCAGGCGGTCCGTTTGATCTCAGCGGGGCTCACTCGCACGTATCCCTCGCGCCTCTCAAACCTCCACATTTCTCCTCCACTCGAAAAAACCATTCAACTCTTTTTCCAAACCCCCCCCTACCACCCCCTTTCCCTCTTCCCCTCGCACTATCGCCTCTTTGTCCCGCTTTCTTTCCCTACTCCACATGTTAACATATGAAATCCTGTTTCCCCCCGTATTCATCAAGAAAAAAAAAAAATATAAAGAACACCCGATAGTTCAACTCAAACGTGAATTCCAGACTTACAAAAACGCATTCCACTGTCTAGTTAACTGTCAACGATGATTACCAAATTTATTTTCGACATTTGTCGCTTCTCCATCATCACGAGGGGAAAAAAAATCTTTCCCTTTCAGTTTTCAAGAGAATAGAGACCCACAAAAGAATTAAAAATCAAGTCGCGAGGACGTGTTTTTGCATTTATTTTCGTTCTGTTTTTTTTTTATTCTTCTTCTCTCTTTTTTTTTCAGGTACTACTGGTCCTGAAAGGAGGTAAGAGGAGGGGAGATGGAGTGCGTGTCTCGGTAAGTTATTGACACTCCTGTAATCCGTTTGTCGGACATGTGAGCAACCGGAGGCTAATCCAGGCCCTCACGCCCACCTCAGATTAAATTTCCTCTCTCTGTTGCTTATTTTTACTGACTCTTTTAGCGATGTGGAGAGCAGTCAGTCTTTCTTCATGGTTTTACCAATTTTTTTCATGGGGAATTTATAGGACATACAGAGTGCCGAGGATTTTTATTTATGTATTTAGAGAGCAATTAATTTTCGCCTCTCTGCATGAACATAATGTGTTTCTTCATATGTCGATGAAAATTTTTTTTACAGGTGGAAATGATTTATTGCGTTCACTTTTGAATTAATTTTTTTTTTTTTGTTGATTAGGTAGACTTCGGGCAATTGCGTTGTGAAATAAAAACGACATGAGACATGTACTTACCACCACCGAGAATTCCATTGATAGTGTAATCCTTTTTGCTATCGTCCATCGATCTACTAGTACTACGTAATAATCGGGTTATACAGGTAACACTCGGTGCCTCCTCAAATCCCTCCTGAAATAAATAATAATAAATAATCCATCATTTCTATTCTCTTTTCATCATGGAACTAGAGACTACATGCGTGCAATGCTAATATCTCCTGAAATCCAGTCTGGAGAAAAAATAAATAAATAAAAAGTCCTCTTTCTTAAAAATTAGTCAATGCTGATATCGACTGCGAAAATGAATCCTCTGCAGCTGGTGGAGAAATAAATGAATAAAATCCCTACCGATCCTCGACCCCGATAAAATATCAGAATCCAGCGATCTCAGCGATCTTCGACCGGCATCTCAGAAACAATAACGATATAGCCCCTGAGATTTTTCCGTTCGAGGGACTCTCTCTTACTTATTCCCTGTAAAAGGTGCATGCGAGTGTGTGGGGCACGTCGGGGCCCTTTTGCGATATCGGGGCGATGACAGCGACGAGAGAGACCGAGAGATGAGGCCCCTCGGGGGGCATCCAGGAACGCCCCCTTCCAGCATTAAATGCCGTATTAATGCCGCAGCCACACTCGACTCGAGATCTTTTTTTTTTTACCCGCTTCTCTACTCATCTCTCTTCACTTCCAGAAGATCTCCAACATTCGACGTATTCTCATTTTTTTATCCGACTTCTTATTCTCTCTTCTCTCATTTTTTTAATCTATAGTTTTAGTTTCAACTTTTTTTTTAATGCAACTCGATTTATCTCTTTATCAGCGAACATCATATACGATCTTGATACGGATAATATATGTCATGTGGGACGTTTTTGTGAATAACATTTCGAGGTTTACATGTTAATCATTTTTTTTTTTGTTTACATAATTTTTATTTTACTGAATTTTACTTGTAAATTGGAAAAATTGCAAATTTATAACTCCTATCGTTTTTATAATAAAATGAGTTGAAGATTTAATTGTTTAAATTAAATAAATGTTAATTGCTATTTTTTTGTTCATCTCCCTGAAATAAATTTTTTAAAACGGTATTTTTTCTTAATTAACTTTCCGTCATATTTTCAAAGACTTAATTATGATTAAAAGGTCTTGATTAAATTAATATCTTTGCGTTTTTAATTATGTTTGGAATTATGTTATCATTAGGGAATGATTTTTTATTGTGTGCTATTTTTTTATTTATTCATCTGTTGTTGTTGATGCCTTGAAAATTGAAATTGAGACGGATGGTAATTGCTGAATGCAGATGGATGATGGCCCTCGGAGACGTACGCCAATGAGTATATAGTGGGTGTACATGCCGGCAAGATATGTATTAGAGGACACGCGAGTCCCTCCCGGCCATTCATGTTATACGTGCACAATTTTTTTTTACCTCGCGCAACGCGTATTAAAAATAACTATTGATCGAGAGATGATCGTGGAGAGAGATACATGGAAATTTTCTGGGGCAGCGCGGATTATTATGATGATATTTCGTCGAATAAATTATGAGTTGAAAATTTATCCATTCGTCTTCAACATTTCCATATTTATTATGATATCTCGAGGCTCCATCGGGATCAGATAATCTGAGCTGCGCAGTTGATGAATATAAATAATTTTCAATGAAAGTGACTCCAATTAAATTTACTCCAGTTCCTGCTGTCTTCCTTTTTTATTCGAAAGAAATGACTACAAGAAAATTTATTGCGCATGACCATGTCTCATGGAAATATTTATATGTATTTATTGATGGGAACTAGAAATATAATTGGCAAAAGACATTTTTTCTCCGTGAGTTGAATTACGAAAAAATGAAAATTATTAAAAAAAAATGAATTGTTTTTTCGGCTTGGCGGGAAAATTAATTTTTTTGAAAATTTCAAGGAAAGAATTTCAGTTATATTTTTACCTTAATGAGTCTTTGTCGAATTTCGTAAGGGTACATTTCCGGATTTTCCCGCCTGAGTTGCATGATCCTAGCTTCGACTTCCGCAGAGGCGACCCTGGGTTTACTGCCTCCAATAACACCAGGCTTGATTGACCCAGTTTCCTCGAACCTATTCAAAATTTTCGAAACACAACCGTGGGAGACTTTGAGATCCCTGGATATCTTACACGGACGAATTCCCGCATGTGCCATCTCCACGATCTGCTTCCTGATGTGATTAGGAAGGGGCCGACCATTTATAAAATGTCCGCCCAATTGATTCCTTCGGCCTTGACCTGAAAAACCATAAAAATCCATTTTCAAAATCCAACTGGCACTCGACAAAAATTAAAATTAAAAAAATCATCCCAAAGATCGATTCTATCCCAAAAGTATTTGACATGAACATTAAACAATTCCACAGTAAAAAAACTCACAACAAATCGAGTCGCTAAATATTTATAGGTGTTTATAATAAAAATTTTATTCTTTATCCCCCGAAGAAATAAAAACATCTCTTGAAAATGGTATTTAAAAATCGAGAATTACTTTCCGCAGTAAAGAATTGTCAATTTTTCGTTCATCAAAATAATAATGAAAAAAGGGTGCATGAATAATGCCCCATAAACGGCGTTAAATTAGAAAAGTTATGGACATGGGCGTGTTGAGTAATTTACTGGGTTAACGACTATTTAAAGTCCACTTATTAGATTTTTTAAAAATTAGCCACTCTTTCTACGTGACACTGCCACCGCATAATGGTTATAAGATGCTGGTTTGTTCCCCCCAGTCGCCATCATCCCAACATATCTGTAATTACAGTATTTACGTATTTCCCAGATAATTTGTTGGTGGACTACTATCGTCATCGTCCATTAAAATCCCCCGTGATTTGTCCAAGCAAGTACTTCATTACTGTTATTGGGTATTCAATACCACCCAGCACATCATTCGAAGTTCGAGAGTTCGGAATACTCAAAGCATGTGTAATCGATGATGATGACGTACCATCGCTCCTGGTAAATTAGTTTAAATTTCCTCAACTGATGAGTACTGTACCGCCTTATTTGAAATTTTACAAACATTTATTATTTTACCAATTTTACCAACTTTACCAATTTTACCAATTCTAAAGGCTCGAATTCCGAGACAATTAATTTGATTGTTTCTAACTTATAACTGTATTGAATTCATTCGCATTAAATTTCAATTTTCATTTCCTACACAACCAGAACGATAGAGTACTGAATGGTTCTAAGAATTCGAATTAATTCTACTTCCTGTGTTTAACCTCCAAAAATAAAATTTCCTTATCAAATGAATTTACATTAAATTAAATCCCCACTTTATTGCTATTCGTTAAAATGTGAAATTTTCGTTCTTCCTGGTCTCCTTAAATATTCCTCATCGACGTGATTGGTAAAACCAGTAATAACAATGGTCTGGACATACCTTGAAAGGGATAACCCGTGAAGAAGGGTCTCATGCCTCCGGTCATGTCCATGTTTAATCCGAATCCCCCCAACATTCGAACCACTATCCGCACAATCCAGAAGTTCACTCTTCACAAAATTCAAAACACTTGATAACAATCTAAACAATTCGCGAACCTCCCCTACCCCCTCCTCAATCCAATAATTTGCACATAGAAGTGAGAGTAGGCGGTAAAGGCGGCAATAATAATTTCAATCTCATGAAAAATGGCGTAGTGTGTGTGAAGTCTGAACCCTTGTACACCGGAAATAAAAACCAGTGAAAGGGAGAAATAATAAAAATAATTCGTAAGAAGGTAGACTTCTCGTGGCGAGTGTTACGAATGAAATAGCGAGCCGACTGGAGTCAAAGATTTTTCTTTGGTTCCCTTCCCCAGGTTCTTTCCACGATGGTGTACCCCCATGTGCGATCTGCCTTATGGGGGGCTGATCTCAGGCTGACTGTCTCATTTCGTTTTGTGTAGCGTCTGTTGGGAAAGGGAAACCTCATTGTTGTTTGTGTTTAGGCTGTAACTCGTTGGGGTGACGCCCTTGAACACGTGGTTGGTAAGTCAGTGATAGGGAATGGGCGGGAACAAATCATGGTAACGCCTACGAAACGTGCCCAGATTGCTGAGATGCTGGAGAATTGGGAGACAATTTACTATTCCAGGCTTTTTGCCCATCGGAAATTTCATGCGGGAGATAAGTGGGTGAAGCGAATTAATTAGAGGTTTTTTTTTTTTTT